AAACATTAAGTGACAATATTCCAGCGGAAACAAACAAGGGCAATTATTTGTCCCGATTTGAATGGTTTTCTAAGTGCCCGTGCTGCCCAGCCGGCTAATACACACATTTTTTGTTTTCACTAGCCAGGGGAATGTCAGTTTACTTGAACAATATGGCGGTAAGTTGAGTCCCGTTTGTTTGAATATTTTAGGTGCGGATGGGAAAGGACATTCAAAGACAAATACAACATGTCTCGGCAGAAGAAAACCACTGGCGTCTCAAAGACGTTTAACTAAATACCACTGGAGAACAGCTTGCCAGTGTGAGCTTGATTTACCCCACGTCATAAATTCAGAGACAATCCAGAGGGCTGACACTATTGCGTTAGAAGTTAATCGATGTGTTATGAAACCTCGTTGCGCCATTTGTCTAGTTTATTCACAGTATTGAGGCACTATATATATGTATCGAAAGGCAGAGAATAGCCTCCGAATCCTGTCGTCACGGTGCACCAATATTCGCCGTTTGATTTGCTACATATGCTGACCGCTGACGAGCCTACGTGTCAGAATGATTGCTTGATTTTAAGTGCAAAACTCGTATCTTACGAAATCACGTGCCGCAATCACGAAATGCAACTGAAGAATTTTCCCGGATGAATGCAAAGAAAATAGCCGGGATTCAAAATATCTGCCTCCATTTAGCGACCATGTAATATCCAATAGTACTTGGTTGAAGCAGATGGGTTGTAGATGCGTCACGGGGTGCGGAGGGAGAACGGAGTTATCACAGTGCAGAACTTCGTGCAATTTTAAAAACAATCAATTAATTCAGTCGCCTTGCGGTTGCTAGACCCTTAAACAACAAATGTTCAAAACTACTTTTCAGCAAAACTCCATCGGGTTATCGGCGACTCGATCGCGAAATATGGAGATGGCACTTGATTTTCAAGATGAGATTCATGATAAGTCCCTCTAATGCCGGTTTGCGTGGGATATTTTGTCCCAAAGAAATTTATGCATCACGTATTCTCTAGATAAAAGTGCCAGCAATCCAATCTGATAAGCACGAACCATTCAATTTTGTGAAAGCAAGGGTCAAAATTTCAAGCGGCATCTCACGACTAGGAGTTGTCGGACGTAAACTGCTTGGTATTACGGTTTGCCTTGGCAAATGCCGGACTCATTTGGAAACAGACGTTGAGCTTAAGCCATAAAAACATGGCAAACGTAGGGTGCACACGTTTTCCCTCCAGTCGTATTCAGGGTCTAGAATTTTGTACCGGTGGACCAGCAAGAATGTCTGACGTAGCCCGGGGAATACGATGGCCTTCATATTTGACAGTATTGGGAGAATTTGACTGGGTTGGAAATGATTAGAAACAGAATCGGTACACGCAGTTTGAACTGATTTGCTCACATAAAAGAATAAATTCAAAGGAAGATCTGGCCACATTTGATTCACTTTCGATATATCCAAGCATTACTTAAATGCAAACAATGGGGCCTTAAAAGATGGGCGTTCTCCCATTTCAGAATGGTGCTGCGAAGGGTGCGTGTTAGAAGGTTTGTGTTTGCAGAATAAACAAATTTGCAGTGAAATATAACGCGTGTTTTGAACGGTCGTCATTTTGAATGCCACAGGAGCCTGACCAGGGGAAGCAGTTTTTTTAACTGGATGTGCATGCGTTACCATAGGAAGAATGCCCCGGAAAGATCGCAGGCGACCATTGAATGAGTTCAGCAATCAATCGTTAACGAAATTTAACCTCGCTGGATCATCTTGCGTTGGGGCGGACCTCCTTAGAACAAGTTTTGCAAATGTGCGCATATCACCCCAATAAAATAAACTTCCTCTTTGTGCACAACACACACGCAAATGTCTCCTGATGAACGTAGTGTATTGAATTATGTTGTTGGTTGGGGCAACAACCCATCGTGTAGAGTAGCATCCGCCGATACTGAGCTGGCTGACTGCTTACACAACTAGAATCTCTTATTATTGTTCCTTCTGAAGGCTGCCCCAAGTGTGAAGTGGAGTATTGTTTGAACAATAAATGTTGAAATGTGTCGATAAATGCAATAACCTAACTTAAGCGAGTAGATTCGTGTGGTGAACCCATCGTATTTCAGAAGAAAATATTTAAAGCAGTGCTTACCCCGTCCGACGATGGTAGATTCCACGTTGCGTCATGTTGAATTTGACCTTGGCTTACTTATGACCGCACTGTAGAACCTCTGGCGGATCAAGAGCGTCACGAGATGTTTTGAGGCCATAGGTAATTGCGGAACCGAATTTTCTCAAGCGTATGCATAAAAACATAAACACACAAACTATAAACATGGCTTGGGAGTTTTTCTTGTATTCTCTTTTCTGAACGGGTCTTATGTTTAGTAATTTGGCGAGCACTGCACAAGACTTTCATATATCCGTGAAGAAGTGTTCAAGTCATAGAGCCATACGCTTAAACGTTCCAACGTTTAGCGTTTTGTTTCCGATCTGTTGGCTGGTCATTTAGACAAATCGCACATAATCGAAAACAATATTTCCCGATTACGAAACACTGCAACCAATTAGCTGGTATGCTTCTATTCTAAGTGTGAACAAGCGATCGATGAAGTCTGAAAAATCTGTTACCATCTGCGAATGATGATATATAAATTTAGTTAATCGGATTTGAATGTTGTCAGACTCGGAAAATACACAGTGACTAAGAGGGACCCCAAATTGGGACGTACACATGTCTGTGTACAAATGACATTCGGGTCACATAGAGAGGAGTTAACATGACAGACCACCCCAAGTGAGCAGGCATTCGCACAGTAATCTTTGGTATATGAACAGCAATGATGATACGTTACGCACATCACCTGTTCCATGCAACAATCTTCCCATTAAGTCCATAGACCATTTCGCCGCTGCTGCTTACAACGGAAAGCTAAATGTCTTTGCTGATTTCCCTGTGTAAGGCTTTTGTTCACGTAATTCAGACCGTCAAAATGATCGGTGGTATCTTTGTGGAGGTTTCATCCTGTAAGTGAAGCCAGTCTATGCTGAAAAGCCGGGAAGCACTGCACAGCTGTTTCCTCCTTGTTGGGAATTATCAGCAGTGCGCACCTCACGAAACTCCGGAGAGTCTCGAACCAGCGACCTCCTGGCTAGTAGTTTGAACACTTAACAACTCGGCCCCTCGTGGCCGAAGCTGTAAAGTGCTTCTGGGCTTTTCAGAACAGATTGGCTCCTCCTACAGGACGAAATCTCAACAAACATCTCTAATTTCCTCACACTACCAAAGAATTTCATGTAGCTCAGTTAAAGCATTAACTTCGCCCGGTGAGTGAGACTTCCATGTGAGAAGTCGTTGGTCGAAGAGCAAGCCAACCTCTGTGACCGTGTGACCAGTGATGCCAATCCGAAATAACGCCACTACTAGCACAAGACCGTACACATTACAAGTCGCGCTGCGACTCGACACCAGAGACACTCAAATTTCATTGCGCTACTACTTCTCGGTGCTGCTACTCAGCTCTCGGGGCCCCACGGAGACACCTTTCCGATCAAACCTCGCCACTATGCCCAAGAAGACAAACAGGCACAAGTTAACCACGAATCCATGTGCAACAGCAAACCCGGTCGTCCAAAAGGGCACTAATCAAAGAGACACAAGTAGGGGCTGTCAAAAAGTTCGCTCTCGAGGACAAAAACACCATCCCTCACATATCAAAAGCCCGCACAAATAAGCTTCCCACGGGGCGAAAAAAATTCTGCCTTGAACGACCGTCCATAATTGCACTCACGGAGGGCTGGCTCACACAAGATGTTTCCGACGAGAAGATCTCGATCGACGGTTTCTCAAGTCTGCGAGTCGACTCCAAACGATTGAGGGGTTGCTCTGTCCTTACATGCGGCCCCATCAGTACCCATTGTCCTCTCCGACACCACTCCTGCCCGCCTTTGCGATGCACTGTGGGTCTAAATCTCGCTGCGGGGGTTCGATTCCCTCCTTCGCCGTGTGGTCTGTTTTTGTCCCTCGGGTCCTCCGGAAGATGACCAGTTTCTTAAACGAACCCTTGGAAAAATCGTCTTTAGCTACGACTTCACTCAGCTCTTTTAGTTGGGTAACTTCATCGCTCTAAAGACCGCCTATATGGAGCTCCAGCGTGTCGAATCAATTCCACCATTTTAGCAGCGCCAAACAAAGTAGTCAAACACAGCGCTCGGACTCGGCATGTCGTAGCACCCACCAGATACCGCGCAGGATGATTACTACCCCTCCTGAATTCGGTCATCACAAACAAAAGACACGTCGTCGTTCAGGCAGTCATTAACGCTCCACCGGGTCATAGTGACCACTGTATGCCGACTTTTGGTTTCATCTGCTACTGGGCTAGAAATCCCGAACCTCAAAGGTGGGTTTGAAATTTCTACAGTGCACACTTCTCAGGAACGCACAGCTTCCTTGAACACGTTAAAATTGGACCAGTTTATGCAGAAGACATATACAGGACCATTGTTCACGAGGCTGATGCAATTCTCGAAAATTTCACCAGAGGGACAGAAAATGAGCTGGCATTTCGTAAAATGCGGAACTACTGTAAATCAGAAATCCGTCAATGAAATCTACAAAAACAATCCACCACTCTAGAGCCCACGCGGAAAAACAAAAAAGGCCTGTTTGAATACATGAAACACCACCGTAAATAAGAAGTCATCAGAGTCAGATCATTTTCAAGCGGACCTTATTTTACCCAGCAATGTTCACACCTGCTGATTAACTGCTTAATTCAATTCGTTTGATTATCATGCCAACGTTGGCAGGTCTTTCGTTGATCCGGTTCGTAGAAACAACCACAGGTGGTTTTCCGGTTCTGCTGGCGCATCTCACGTCAAGTGGTGGGTGACTGAAAATATTATTCACAATCCAAAGTTTCAAACGCATTTCGCAACCCAAATAATCGGATGTAAAATAGCGGGGAGGATGAGCAAATAGTTATTCACCTAATATAATAAACTTATTGTCATGACTGAGTACCAACTGGCCTTGTGGGAGGTGAGCCCTTTCAACTCGAATTACCAGCCCGTTGTGACCTTAAGGAAGAGTCAACATGAAGCATAGAAAACGCCGAGAATTATATGGTAAAAAGTGATAATGAGTAAATGTTTTCTACATATACCCATTGCCCCTCCGCACTAATCAGATGGCTCACAATATCAAATTATGGTGTCCTCTTGTTTGGCGGAGTTCTAGATACTCCAGCGGAAATACGTGTTGTGCGCGCTCATGCAAAAATGCAGCCCTCAACCCTGTCCGATATGTGGACCATTTTAGACTTACAACTGCACGGCGATTGAATCCAGTTCTGACTTTCTAGGTCCCGATATTCACTACGTTTGTGAAATAATACTATCAGTGCCAATGCAAACTCTACAGTGCAAACAAAAATATGGGAGCACCCAGTGAATTTCCACAGGATATTTGAATCACGTTGCATCTTTGGCGGTTGCCGTAGGGCTTGAATTACTGCGTCAGGTATTTGATCAATTCTCCCTCGTTATTGCAGCTCGTGCCTTTCGAGAAGAACAACAGGGTTAAACTTGTAGGCTTCAGGGCAATAATTATTTTGAAAGCACATTCTGATTAAAATTATTTCTAGCAGGACAGTACCATAAGCGATATTACGATTCAGAAATCAGCCAACCGTAATCAGTCAACTATAGGAATAACCCTGATATAGACAATGTCACTTCGCTTAAAATAAACTTGGTGAATCTGGGATATCCTAACTTTTGCTCTCATCTAGTCTGCAGTATACATTATTTTACAAGATTATGGACTCTGGGCAGCCGTCAACCACGAAAAATTATGTATGCTAAGTGTCATACATGCCAAGTTCCTGGGAAGAGGAACGATATTCGCGATTCTCCAGGCCAAACAAATGGTGCTGAAAATTTTTCGCAGCTCGCCTTTCAACGTTCGGTTCCTTATTGCGTCCAACATTTTGGGATTTGGTTGATTATTATTTTGTTAAAGAAATGGAAACCTTTGTGTTTTATCTGTCGATGCACTCCAAAAAACATGTAAAGTATAGCGCAGGTGCATGTATAGCAAACACAATCTGAGTATTTGATCTGATGCAAACCTGGAAGCGCATGTTCATATTGTACGCAATATGTCATGTGGTTTCCTCTTTGTTGTACTGTTGCCTTGCCAACGACCCGCCCTAAATAACACACGCACTTATTGTTCCCGTTCCGTTCTGATGTACCTGCAGGCTTTCCACTCAAAATGCTTTGGTTATTGCACTGACGAAGAATAAGTCTCACCTGCTGTAAAACACTCGGCTTGTGAAGAAAACAAGAGTTTATTTACCGGAGAACGGGATTTCAATTATAACAAATACAGACAATTTTACTGGTTATCGATGGCAAGGCAGTTGCTCTTTTCTTTTAGACTTTCGCATAACTAAACCGTTTCATGCTGATTGCAAAGCAAGGACAATCATGCCAAGCCCAAGTTTGGTAAACTTTATGACCAAGTTGAATATTCCATTCCGAGATTGTTTGAAGTTCTAATTAGTTATGATTTCGCATGACTGCATGAGTACGCGTGAATGAGAACAGCAAAAAACCTAAATCCATTCGGATGCTGGCGCAAATCATTCAGCAAAATGTCGACTGCGTAGATCTGAAATTAGTTTGCCAGCATTTACTGACAGGTATGCAAAATTTCTTGTCGTTCGATTGCTTCCAGCTCCCAGCGTAATAACTTGATTACCGGCATGTCATGTGGCATTCTTAAAAACATATTGACCGACTTAAGTGCAGCACTCTACACTAATGTAATTACCTTTTTTACCACTGATAAAAGTACTCGGGATTCTGTTTCTATGTAAACACATAACGCTTAGGATTTATTTTTTCCGGCAGGTCAGGCTAAATTCAATATTGTGTAACTCACTGCTTAGAGCACACAACAGAAATAAATTTATATTGTAGACACAGCGGAAAACTTCTGCAAATTCTCAGACATATGTATGATTGTCATCAAGTCTGCGGAATAATTTTCACTTCCACGTGTGACCTGGCTCGCTTAATTCACTACTGCATGAAAGAGAGAAACCAGATTACACTGTGTGATATCAGTGTCAGCAGCATGTGCCAGAACGCACTCAGCAGTCGTTCTACAGCACTGGAATGTTTAATTTCAATTCGCTCAACAGAAAAGTCACTCCGTTAATGAAGGACAGGCGGCTAGTGATAAAATGTCAGGCATTTATTCTGTTGAGTACGCAAGCAAGAAACCTGAAAGTTCAGGAAATGATTTTGAGCAAATTGAAAGTGGATAATAGTAACAATAATAATAATAATAATAATAATAATAATAATCGTCATCATCACCATCATCACCATCATCATTGTTGACGCTGATGCTCCACTGTCGTACGAACATAAAGTTCATTTAAATATATTTAAAACCTTAGGGTGAAAAAGGACCAAACGAGTGGCTAAGGGAGGCAATCTGGTGCTGTTGGCTAGTTAAAATGCATAGCCAGCTGACATGAATTTAAGCTGATAACGATCGATGGCCATGATTGACCTTGGGCGGTAACGTAAATAGCCCGAGTCACAACGAGCAAATTCAAGTTCAGAGCACATGGAGAGTGTTGTTCGAATTATGGTTTAATGTTAAATTAAGCGTACTCACTGGTTGCACTGTTGTAGGGAAATCAGGTGCGGGAGACAGGTTGGATGGGGGTGAATTGCCAACACATAGGGCCATTCCAACAGCATATACGGATGTCAACTTGTGGAGGAGGCAAGCCGAAATTGCAGCAGAAAAACCAAGCCAGCCATAATTGAGGGATAATTCATCGGGCACGGAATAGATCATCCCACACACAGTGCGTGATGAAAAATTTGCTCGAACTTGTGACTACAGGCTTGAGTGGGCAAAGGGTTGCGTGCCATGCCATCATCACACTGAATAGTCCCGTAACGGTCAAGGGTGCCGCGATCGGAGAAGGGATACGCAGTTCCGTGGCAGCTAGTTCTGAGTTAGACGGAGATTGACACGGAGAGTCACGCAGATGCAGGCTCACTGATAATTTCCCTTTCGCTGAAGTACCGTGTGAGTGTAGACTGGCTATCAGCCTGTTTCGAACAAGCAACCAGCAATCGGCCGCTGGAAGGAGCATGTTTCGGGAGCAAATGAAACGTCAACTACCCGTTGTGCTATGGTAGCAGAATGGTGATTTTCAGAGCCTGCGTGATATGGCCAAACGAAGACAAAGCACTGGTGTGAAACGCCTTGTCAAGTAGAGTCGCACCAGTGTTACGCATGTGTATAAATGAGTGGGATGTTGGGCTAAACAAGTATTCCATTCATAGCGCATCTTATAGCCCAACATTTGAAATGCGTGCGCAGAATGGTTCAGAACAATGAGGAGCTTAGGTTTCCGTTTGGCTGAGGACGAACACGTCGATTGTGGAAACCTTTATTTCGGCCAAGAATGTTTCAACTAATTAGCGCCAAATTGATGCACTGGATGTGCGTTTTACTTCGTAAGGATTTTTTTGCCCTATCCTTTTCATTTTTGTGGTTGCGATTATTTCAGAATTAATATTCGGTGCGGACATTGCTAGCCTCACGGGTGGCGCATAACAGACAGCGCCAATGAGCCGAAAAGCAGAGCGCGTAATATTTCAAAAGTTGTGTGCAAAATCTTTATCTACGAGCATTTAATTCAAATGCCAAAATAAATTCTGAAGACGGGAGCGATTAAGTGATTTGGATAAGAATTCCATGGAATGTGTTTCAGTGCCTAATCTTCAAACAATACCGGTAGACCTCAACGGTTCGTATTCGACGATTCCTAAGCACGCAAGCACTGTTATATTTCACGCCAGAATCGCAGACACCTTGGTGGAGTAAAAAATCTTTGCAAGTGAATTCTCACATGACCTTTAGCGATCTATTTCGGAGATAGTGCAGCTTCCCTACGATGCTGCAGGTCCGGAGCCTTTACAATCACAAATGTTCAGCAAGGTTCCTGATCGTTTGCACCCTAACACACCTATTTCATTTATGGAGGAACTTTCCGGTCTTTCTCAAACTATAGTGTTTTAACATGTGGCACATGCGCGAAAAGCATGTCAACAGTAGTCGCATTAAAGCACAAGTCAACTCCGTGATGTAGTTGGAAATACCTAATGTGTCCGTAAACCTTTGACAAACGAGATATGGCGAGCACAGGTAAACCGCACCAAAGGCCACGTATGATAGAATATACTAAAAATTAAGGGCTGAGAAAATGCCCACGTACGTGATACTATTTCTATCTAATGCGTGGTTGCTCGATTTTGTGAAAGACCTGTGTATTTCAAAGTGTATAAATGCCCTGATTCTCACTGCATGTTCAAATAAGGTAAATGTTCTGCATTCAAACTTGAGTACAGGACACCAGAACCCGAACAAATTAATAGTTATAAAGTGTAAGATAACTGATACACTTAAAGGCATTTAGAACTGTTCATCCAACAAGCATGAAGCCGAACTCATAATGGGCTCGGCCATCTTGCGAAACCATGGCAGCAATTGTTGGATGACCACCTAGTGTTCCGACGTAAAATGTCTTCAGACTGGTTCTTTTTCAAGCATATAATCTCGTCGCCTTTACTTAAATATACCGAGTAATATTCTGTGCGGATGAAGCGCACCTATTGTATTAAATTCAAAGTCGGAGATGGAACTATTTGTTCATATCACTCTGCCGGCTATTTGTCGCCACCTGAAACTAAATCAAGTAACGTTTGGATTATACACCCATCGACTTTACTCACAGTCCATGTTTACCCATGACTGTGGGCCCGGCGACCATTTAATTTCGAAAGCTGTTCCATGGAAGCATGCTCTCGCCTGTGTTCAATGAGAAAAAAGTATGATAGAGTTAGTAAGCCTGATTGTTACTGCTGCAAAACTGTGAGAACATTCATGTGCGTATATCTGTTTTATGGTCGGATCCTGGTAAAGCAACTGCTTCGCGTTTACCAGGAGCCAGAGGGCTGAACGGAATCTCTGTGCTTTTAACCGAACTCTGTTATATGTGAGCTAGGCATCAGAAAGTGAAACAGCTGAACGATTAACATGGTTAACCGACATACATGGGAATATTAACAACCCATCTTTGCGCTGCTAACGCAATTATGTTGAGCGAGTTTTGAGTTGCCAAAACTACTGAAAATATCTGCGACGTCGCAAAACAATAGGCCGCACAGGATATTCTGTTTGGCCAAAGTCAAAATCTTTTGGCAACACGAGTTTCGTTGATATGCAAGTGTATCAAACACTGAGCCTGTTCAATTTGGCCATCATGGTTGTTTTATTGACCCTAAACATGTCCTTCGGATAGCAGGATCGAGGGAAGCCATTCTTTGTTGACCGTTTCTTCTAAATTAAATTGTCTCTTATGTGACCAAAGCGTGTAGATTACCGGCCTTCCACTGGGAAATCGATGACGATTTCACATCTTATGTTATTAATTCCATTTGCCTGGAATTTTCGGAATTTTCGGTCCTCGGCTGTGGAAGACTGTTCAGCAACCTTATAAGTATTTTTTTCTATGAAAACGTTTTCTACTCTGATCGCACATCGCGATGGCTTTCCCTGAAAACCTGCAGTCAGTGACCTTCTCTCAGTGCTAGTGACTGATTCCAAGATGGCTTAGGGCTCATTCGTTGAATTACCAAACTTTGGCACTCAGTCCCCGCTGTTCCCGAAACTGGTAGTTCAAGGGGAATAGCTGCTATTAGCAACCAGTTGAAGGAGGCAGTCCACGTTGCCGAAGCGGCTCGATAAGTCTGCTTGTCTGATCGATTACGCTGGCAGCGACATACGCACAACGTTGTGTGTGGTTTCATTCTCCCGTAAATAGCAATGACAGAAGAACACTGGAGGCAAAAATCAACCGGTATTCACTCAGGCGCAGACGATTCCGTTTGATCGTTTAATGCAATATCCATCCGATCATACCCAGTTGCGGCGATCTCTGCATCTCAGAGATGCTAGCGAGCTCTGCAATTGTGCGAGGGAGCGGCCTTCTTAATTACAGTGCCTGTATCTAGTATACTTGTTTCTGGAAGACAGTATGCAGCAATGAATTGGGAAACCAGCATACGAGTAAGAGTAGGTTGTCGCTGCAACTGTTCGGGCCACAAACTATAAATGCAGTCAAATGAACATGCCTTCGATTTTGGAAACCAGATTCCTAGGTGTTCATTTCGTCCCTACTTGTGGCATCATTGAACGATTGCTGTTTTCCGAGATTATTCTTGTGTTCAGTTGATGGACGTGCGTACGATTGCATACTGCCAGAATGTCCATATGTTGACAACAAGGATATAATGGTCCCCGTTTGAATCGTTTGGCTTAACATGCAGACCGCGTTGGATCAGGGTGTGGTGCGAAATGCAAGTGCACTATAACTTTCAAAGAAAAAGTTAGCAAAACATCAGCTACTCGTTTTTGATAACGTGTTACCTGGATGCTGTCTGCTTTATGCATTTTCGTACTTGAGGACATCTGTTAGCCTTGAAGTCATTCTGTTGTCCAGCATAACCCAGCCAACCTCATCCAAGCACTGGATCTCTGATAGGACCACGTCCTTGCTGGAGACCCGGTCGCCACCAAAACTCCACCGGCGCATCATCCGACGCCAGGTGAATCTGAGTGTCCGCGCAGACCGAGAAGCTTGGTGGGCCCGAAAGGTCGAAGAAATGGAAGATGCAAAGAATGCTGGGAACGTGCGCAAATTGTTCTACCTGATTCGTTCGACTGGTCCTCGGAAACCTCTTGTCAGCGAGATAATCAGGGACCAAAATGGTTCCCTGATATGCAACAAAGCAGAACGTTTGGACCGTTAGGCACAGTACTTCGAACAGCAGTTCAGCCGGCCATCTGCCACCTCCACTTCAGAAACCTGGCCTTCAACAGAGAGTTGGACCGCAAAGATTGAGCCGCCTTCAGTCTCAGAAGTGTCTGACGACCCTCCACCTGCTCTTTTCAAGAATGGCGGTGGATTCCTCAGCCAGTGCATGTCTAGCCTATTTG